ATGACAGTTTGCCCTCCAGAAGTCTGAATCAATTTACAGCTCTGCCAACAATGTATCAAAATATTCATTTTGCTTTCCTCTTGCCAGTCTTTAGAATTTCTAATTAACCAGATGGTGAAAGATGTTAACCAGTTTTTGAAATAGCTGAAAAATGTCCTGAAAGGGACTAGAGTTATCAACAAGGCCTCCTCCTCATTTTTTGCTAGTTTGTATTTGAATAGCAAAGGGGAGACCAGCATGTTTCAAAATCAGTTAAAGCTCCATCAGTGCATTCAGCAGGAAGGTTTAATAACTGTGCAAAATAAGAATTCTGAGCAAACTCCAAGAACCTTTATTTGGAGATCACAAGGATGAAAAAAGAGCTTAGATTGCAAGGCAGTCTTGGGGACGTCCCTTGAAATATGAGTAACACCCTTGAGGTATTTCAATAAATGGGATAAAAGGCTTTAGTACTTAGAAGAGAGGATAGCTGGTTAATGACACATGCATGAAATGAGTCAGAAGGCAAGATGGTCTTCAAAAGTCGATGTGTCTGGGCATATACAATACTAGAAATACAAATAAGATGTCCAAATACACCAGGCAGTAGTATGATGAGAACAAAACAGAGATAGTGCCTTCCTTAAAAATGATTCCTTCTGATGTAACTCATTTAGCAGGAGGGTCATCAATAGTATATTGTTTGTTGACAGGCATTAGTTTGAAGGGTGGGATAGAGTAACAGGCGGCTACTAGTGAAGAATGGACTCCCATTGCTGCTGGTTCTTTTTCACCTCCTCCTTCTGCTATAATATTCTTAGGTAATCAGTGACAATTTTTTTCATTTTGTAGAAAGATAATCCTAGCGTGGTAATTCTCAAAGTGTGGTTCCCAACCAGCAACGTCAGCATCACCAGGAATTTACTAGAAATGCAAATTGTCAGGCTTCTCTCCAGAATCAGAAACTCCGGTGGGGACAGCAACCTGTGTTTCGAACAAGTCTCTTGGTGATTCTGCTACATTGTCCTAGGGTATCTAAGTCATTGAATTATTTACTGCCAATATTTTCAAGATATTTTCTTCTTTTTCAAATTACAGTTAACTTTCTGAACTTGGGAACATGTAAGATTATGAAAAGATGACAGAAGACAAGGGCTGTTTAAATTCATCTTCCTAAAAGAGAATGCAGTGCTTTAAAAGTACATATGTCAGCAAAGGGTGGGTACAGGGCCTGTTATATAAAGTGAAATCTCTTCATTCAGGATTAGGATTCACAAATGGTCTACATTTTTCCATACAATTACATCTATTCTGAATTTGTTTGTCACTTGACTCCTCTACATAGCTTAGTATGACAAAATTTCATCTTGACCAAGGAAAAAATATTTAAAAAAAAATCTCTCAGAGATCAAATATATGACACAAGCTGTAAATAGACTGTATTATGCAATGCATGTATTGAAAAATATCTCATTTTCTGGAAAAAAAAAGTTAGAATAGTATCTTGTTCATTTGTTTAGCTGGATAGGCAAAGAAAGTCTTTCTCTAAAACCCTGTGGAAGGGATATGTTGTACTTTTCAAGAAACTGCCAAATTGTTAACTAAAGCAGTTGCTCTACATCACCAAAACTTGGTATGGTCTAGATTTTAAATTTTAGCCATTTAAGTGTATAGAGGTATTTCATGGTGGCTTTAATATGCATTTCCCTAGTGACAAATGAATGATGCTGAGAATCTTTCCATCTGCTTATTTGCCATTTCTGTATCTTCTGATCCAGCCATTGCACTCCTTTCCATTTCAAAAGAAATGAAAGCTATGTCCATGCAAAGACTTGTACAGGAATGTTTGTAGAAGCTTCATTTTTAATAGTCCAAAACTGGAAACAAGCCAAATAGTAAGTCAATATTATAAATATGAATATTACATATAACTTTAGAAATGTAGATAATCTATATTGACAGCAGATCAGTGGTTGTCTAGAAGGTGAGATGTAAGGAGGGAAAGGAAGGAAGGATTAGAAAGGTGTAGGAGGAAACTTTTCAGAGTGGATATGTTACTATCTTGATTGTGTTTCATGAGTGTACATGTGTCAACACATCAAATTGTATACTTTAAGTGTATGCCAATTATAGCTCAATAAAACCAAACCTGTTGCCCTCCAGTGAATTCCAACTCATGGTGACTCCATAGGTTACAGAGTAGAACTGAGGTCCATAGGGTTTTCTTGTCTGTAATCATTATGGAAGTCGATTCCCAGGTTTTTCTCTGGTGGCAGTGCTGGATGGGTTTGAACCACCAACCTTTCAGTTAGTAGAGAGAGCAAACCCATTTGTGCCACTCAGATTTTTATTTTATTTTCATCAGTACTTGATAAAGAAATAGAAGAGAAAATGCCTTACTCAGAAAAGGCTATTGTATGTATACAATTTCATAGCTCTGTATCTTCCCTTGTGAGGAGCCTAGAACAGAACCTCTGCCAACTCTAACTCCCAGCCTTCCTATTACTCCTGAGGTTAAAAAAAAAAAAAAAAAAAAGGAAAAGAAAGGAAAATTAAAAGATCATATAAAGCAAGTGGCAGCAATGATTATATTTGCACTTTTTCCCCAAACATAGATACCTCTATTGTATAGTGTAGTGAAAAGTGAAAATCTGTTATGAAGTCTTTCAATCGTATTTGGTTACTGATATCAGAAACATCTTACAGGAAAAAAAGCCTGCACAAGTTGTTGTTGTTAGGTGCCGTTGACTCGGACCCGACTCATAAAGAACCCTCCTTGGGTTTCTGAGGCAGTATCACTACGGAAGTAGATTGCCCAGTCTTCCTTCTGAGGAGTGGCTGGTGGGTTTGAATCGCCAGCCTTCTGGTTAGCAGTCAAGTGCCATAGGCACTACACTACCAGCGCTCCTCCTGCACAAGTAGAAAACCTAAAATCTAGACTAATAAGATGTTAGCTCATATCATAAAAAGTTATGCAAAACTTTGAAAATAAAACTCAAAGCTGGACACAGAATTTGATTAAAATTTCAAAACTTGCTCCAATTTCACAGGAGCTTGGAAAATAATAGTGGCCTAATTTGTAGTTATATAGATAAAGTTCATGCCAAACATGGCAGGCTCATTTTGCACTTTGAGGATTGTGCTGATCAACTATTTAGATGCGGCTCTGATAGGAGCGAGCAAGACTTCCCTCTGGGCAAATCACTACTGAGGGCAACTGCTTCCAAACTTGCAAGTTGTTCATTTCAATTTACTGAGGCCAGTTTGTTTGTTTCAAGGTGCTCACATCCTAGGTTTTAAGCAATTATTGGGCTAATAAAGAGAAGAGGGAACTCAAAACGATATCTGATGCTGAACTCTTGCTTTTTCTAATACTCAATATAGAGTGGGGAAGTCCTCTGGGAGACCTACCTTCAATCCAACACCACGTCGTTCCCTTGTCTGCTCTGCTACTAGACATTAACTCCCTACTGGTTCTCAGCTGGAGCCCACAGATTGCACCTGCTCGGAAGGACTGTTTTATCCGCAGCTCGGCCTCGGTTGCCTGTGCACCAGGCCCCACCAGGGGTCACTGCAGGATCAGAGCTATGGTGCCCGCCCGTCCTGGACGCGTTCAGCCGCGCGGGGGGCGTGAGGCCAGGAGCTCTGAACACCAGGGTCGGATTATAAATGCTCCCTGCCTTCAGAGCCAGCCTGTGGTCTCCCGGGGAAACCGACACAGCGGACAGGGCCACCGCCCCGGACGGTCCCGCGGCTCCAGCGCAGCGCCCAGGTCTTCGCACGGACCTGCCTTCACCTCGCCGTTTGGACCACCTCTGCTCCGCCCTCCGCCCCCAAGCCGAGACCCCGCCCAGAAGGGGCGCCCCCTCTCCGACCGCTGGGCTCCAGCGGCTCTCCTGGGCTTTTTGCAGACGTCCTAGTCCTGCCCAGCTGCACCTGGGCTGCTCCCGACCGGGGCACCACCCCTCGCGCCACCAAGAGAACTTTCCCTAGAGCCGCCGCGGCCTGGCGCGCCCTGGGCGCACCCCGCCCGCCGCGTTTCCAGCCAGGGCGCCCGCTTCTTCACACACCAGCAGGTCCTCCCACTCCCTGCTTCTCTGAATTTCTTGGAGAAGCAGCACTCTGCTGCTGCATCAGGGCTTTCCTCGAGGGAGAGCTTGAACTTGCCACTCACAGCTCCCCGCGATGAGCTGGGGGGCTCCTAGACGGGAGCCGCGCCCCACGACGAGCTGATCTCCCTTCGCGGGTCTCGGTAAGGAGCACGTTGTCCTTCCCAACCCTCCTCCGGCTTCTGGGTGCCGGCAGGTTGGGGGGTGGGGCGCAGTAGCGGACTGGCTGACTGACGACTCACGCCACTGCCTCTGGCTGGGGCGTCGTGGGTACCCTTGACACAAAAGAAAAGCCGACCCCTCCTCATTCCGCGGACCCGGCCTGGGGCTATGGGGCGGGGTTGGAGCTGGGAAGTGCGCGCCCGTAGGGGACTCGGGAGGATGAGAAAAGGGGGGTGTGCCACGGCCGTGTTCTGGGCGGGCGCTGGTAGAGTGGGTTGAGGATCTCCGAGGGGCTTCCAAGTCCAAAGCGGGGAGCTTTCATCTCTTCCTATTTTTGCCCCTTGCCGCGATTGCCAGGCGACTTTTGTCTTCCGTAGGTCTGCAGGAGGGCCCGCGGCGCCCCCACCTTCGGAAGAACCGGAGCCGCAGGATGTAGGGGGACGCGCCTCCGCCCTCCGCGCCCAATTCCGCCGGCCCTTCCCCGGCGGCTCCCGGGCGCTGACTCTCCCCCTCCCAGCCTTCTCCCCCTCCTTGCCTTCCTGCCGCGCCTGGGAGGCTCGGCTGCGCGGCCCGGGACTGCTCCGGGAGCTGTTCTCGCCCTAGCTGAACGGCCCGGGACCGCGCCGAGAGCAGCTCCTTTCGCCCTCGCCGCGGCGCGGACAATAAATTAATGCCTCGCGCTTGAGGATAGGGGAGGCTCGGCGTCTCGATTTCAGCTTTCTCGCCTGGCTAGAGAAAGCCACAGCAGACATGGGCTGTTTCTGCGCTGTTCCGGAAGAATTTTACTGCGAAGTTTTGCTCCTGGATGAATCCAAGTTAACCCTCACCACCCAGCAGCAGGGTATCAAGGTAGGCACTGGCCGGGGACGCGTTCTGGGGTAGGCAGCCAGTCGCTCTCTTGGGTCTGCGGTGTTGTCTGAGGGCTGACACCGGACGGATCCAGTGGCTACGTCTCTGTGCGGTGGGAAGGAGAGGTAGCAGCCCCTGGTGCTCAGATAGCCAGTGGACGTGTCAGAGCGGGTTAACTTTTGAGTTCCTTCATAAAGAAAAGTAAGTTTGACGTTTCAAACGTTGTTGACGCACCAACTCTCAGGTGCAAGCCCAAGGTGCTCTAATAGAGACCAAAACTCTTCCCAACACTGGTTTCTTCCAAAAGCATCTAACACAGGCCCCCGCCCCGCGCATTTCCCAAAGAGATGCAGAGCTGTATAAATTGTATGTATGCTTTACTGCACCCTACTTGTTGAAGACGTGATGTACCTCGGTTTTGTTGAAGGTTTTTTCTCTGATGATGGCATTGGGGAAATAAACTACTTCACTCGCTGAAACACATTTATTGGGTTGTGATTGTTTTGCCTGGGTTTGTAATTGGGTAATGCTACGTTTGGGCTGAAAATAACTTACCTTTTCCATAAGGGAGCTGGTTTCATCCCCACATTAAGTAAACATCTCTCAAAGTGACTCAGTAATAACCTTGCTCCTTTTTGCAGGTCATTCAAATGCAATTACTGTTGTTAACCTAGAGAACCCGAACAAAAAAAGCTGTGGGAGATGCAGAGATCCACTTCTTTAATTTTGATAAATACTCTTACCTTTATAGTTGACAACCTGACAGATGCTTCTACCTTTTACCTTTCTTCTTGCAACAGAGTAACTACCTGGAGGTGATCTGAATCATTTTGTTGTTTTGTTTTCCTTCTTCTTCAGTTTTAAATAACTGAGGCATTTTAGCAGCTTAGTTTGAAGGGAAGCCTCCCCTCACTAAGGTGACCAATTGAGAAATCAAGTTCAGGCTGCCAGTGTCCTCTATCATCTTTAAAGTTAACCCTAACCGGTAGGCCCTGTGTGAAACAGTGAATAAATACCACTTTTACATAGCTTTATGCACACAAGAGTTACTGTTCCTGGCTAAATGCTTTAGCTTGGATATTGCTGTTATTAGTGTACAGAATTCTAGTTTCAGAGTTGTAACCCTCTTCCAGGGAGAAAGGGGCAAAAATGTCCAGTTATAACTACAAGATAAAGTTAATACTTTCCTTTAGGAAAATTGTTTTGAATAATGTTTCGGTTATTATAATAAGCAGAAGTAAATCAGAGTCCCATTTGGTGCTTCCCTTTAAGGCCAAAAATATTAACAGATTCTTGGTAAAGGGTGTTTATATTTTCAGATTTTTAAAAAAATAAATGCAAAAAGAAAACATCCCTTAAAAAAAGGAAATCAGGAAAAAGAAAAGCTTACTTTTCAAAATAATGTAACATTCTTTGTCGGACTGTGTGAATAATATAGTCAAAATCACAAAAACTTCCAAAATTCTTGATGACACATAGATTTATTTATTTATTTATCTGTTGTTTGGTTTGGGGGCAGAAATGTTAGTTGAAAGAACATAACTGATGATCTGATACTGAAACAACAAAGAAATCTGTCTGAAGTGCAAAGTCTAAAGTCATCTGGAGCGTGAGCTTCCTATTGAATCATGAAAGCTGTGCCCCTGTCAGCTGTGCAGTGCGTACATTATTCTGTCAAAAGAGCAGCCAAGACTTGGGATCAAATGGAATAATTTTGTCAGAGAAACATGAATCAAAAATCCCGACCTGTAATTATTTTTTAAAACTCAGTGGTGCTTATCTTGTTTTACAAATAGGTTGAAAATTGGTGAGTGATTCAAAGGCAATAGCGACTTTATAATACTGTTATTTTGGATATATGCCATATAGCTAAACAATAATTTAAGCAGGCTTTTGTTGGAAGTAATCGTTTTGCAACAGGCTTGCCTCTTTCAGTGTCACAAAAGCATGCCACAATTATTTTGATAGCCATATGTGTAACACAGATGTTGTCTGCTAAAGTTAACCACTTTATCTATAACTACAATACTACCATAATATGCATGTGTTAAGCACCTATCTTTTTGTGGTATGTACTAAATTAAACACACATGTGTATTTGTAAATTGTATAATGTATGGTAAAGTATCTCACACAGAGATGGTATTCACACGTTGAGTATTATTATTTCTTCAGTACACATTTGGCATTTTCTTTAACTTTATCCCAACCTGCCTGTATCATGGAGGATAGGTATAATTTAATGTATATTATATTAATTAGTGAAATTAACTCCTTTGGTTTCTAAATGAAATAATTATTCCAAAGTTAATAGCCAATAACTATTATTATTATTATTGTTATGGTGTTTCTCCCTTGGGATAGTATATTTGATAATTTTGATTGTCACTAATTAAAGTCAGTGTTAAGCTTGAGATATCAATTAGCCGGTTTTCTTTTCCTGAAACTAAAATAACTAAAAAAATGAAAATCTCTTTTTTTTTATTTTTCAAAAGTGTTTTCTAGTATTTATTTTGAGATGACGCTTTTCCTTATTCTAACTCCAGTGAAATGAAGACAACCAATTTTGCATTAAAATCGTCCACACATTTTAACCCTTAATTGAGATTTTATTGATTCCTAGTTACCTAAGAATTTGCTTGTATTACTGTTATAATACATTACTATGTTTTTTTTGAAAAAAGATTGATAATAAATTGAGTTAGGTGTATGAGAGAACTTTGGCAAAGTATTTTTCATGTGTACTTTATTTCCTTATAAGTAAAAAAAAAAAAAAAACTCACTGCTGTCAAGCTGGATCCGACTCATAGCGACGCCTCCTTGGGTTTGTGAGGTGGTATCACTAAGGAAGTAGATTGCCCATCCTTCCTCTGAAGAGTGGCTGGTGGGTTTGAAACTTCCAGCCTTCTGGTTAGCAGTGAAATATATCTTTTAAAAACACTTTGGATTTGTTTAAGCAATGAATTACAGATTGAAATGTTAGTTATACAATGATTTCCTGCAACTTAGATCAAAGTTTTTTTTATTGACTTCAGAAGTTGAACATGTGCATTTCAGCCTAAAGACAATAGTTAACACAATTTATATGTTAAGATGAGTAGCATTTAAATGGCATAAAATTTTCATTTTAAAAAATTAGGAAAGTAAACTACAACTTTTCCTTTTGTATTCATATATATGTTAAATAGAGGGTTTGCATTCTTAACTATCAGTTCCACAGTACTTTAGAAATGTTGTCAGGAGCTCTGGTGGCACAGTGGTTAAGGCATTTTATCTGCTGACTAAGTAAAGTTCAGTGTTTGGAACACAGCAGTTGCTCCATGGAAGAAAGATGAGGAGGTTTATATCTAAAAAGATTGATAGCCCTGGAAACCTAATGGGGTTGCCTTGAGTCAGAATTGACTTGATGGCAGTGAATATGGTGGTGTTTTTTTTTTTTAAGAAATGTTTTAGAGGTAACTTCTCCTTGACAAGCAGAAAGTCTTTTCATGCAGTTTGCATTTTGAGCCCTCTGCAAGATTTGAAAACCCAAGTTTATATAAACTGAAAACTATCGGTTGTGTGCTGAGTACCACACTAGCTTTTAGCTGTTTGTTCTCTATTGTTATCTCAGTTGTTTATTCAAGTAGGGAATTCTGCTGTGGTTGATCTTTTAGTTTTCCAGTAATGTTTGTTCAATGAAACTTTCGTTGTCGTGTCCTTTATGTTATTTGCTGTTAGATTTTTGTTATGTGCTTGCGGGGGAGGGAGATAGAGATGTTTTCTTTTTGTTAAGAAGCAAATTTGAATGTGGCTCAAACCACTATTAGAGGTTGTCATTTGATTAGTAAAAGATGTTCAGTAACAAGGTTTGATTATACATTTAGTCTTCAAAATTGCTGCTTCAAATATGAAATAGATTAGTAATCTCATTTCAGCAAGATTTTAGTCCTCTGGGTTATAGTATAATGAACACTGAGGTGCTCATTTTTCCCTAGGTATATTTGACTAAAATTAATGACAGCAAGGTGGTAACTCTATTACACTTTAAGTTTTAAATGAAGTTACTGCCTAATCAGCCTGCGGTTTGTGGAATAGTATTGTTAGTTTTAATGCTTTGATCGGTAACTTCCTAATAAGCTAGAAAAATAAAGTAGAAAAATACAGGGTGGAGATTTAAACATCTCACTTACCAAGTATTGTCATTTTCATGCAGTTTGGATTGGTAAAGAAAATAACCTAAGAATATTGGGAAGAAGTGAAAAGCAATTGTTTTTTACAACTTATATTAAGAATATATGTGAATATTTGTATCTTGTGGTAATTAACCACATAAGGTACAGAGTCAGGGACCATATAAACATAGGATGTAGCAGGTAGTCATATATTAATATTTCTGTTAGTGTAAGATTACTTGCTCAGTTACTAAATTGGGTGTGACTGAGATAGAGTATACCCCTCCTCAATTTGTATCCGGATTTCTAAAACTCGAACGTGGTTACTATGTTGTGGCTGTGTAAAATGAACAAGTGTATAAAATGCTCCTTGATTTCACAAGACATTTTTTTTCTTGAAAAAATATTAAACATACTTTTTATTATCTGTGATTGAAAGTGACTTAAGAGCAATTTAAAGAGGAAAATATTGTAATCTTCAACAGGCTATTCTCCAGATGTTTATACTTGGTTGATGGTGGACCACACTTTGCAGTCCAGTTACTATGTTAGTACTTGAATTCTCTAAGATTAGAGTTGAACAACATTTGAACTAAACTTGAACTAATGCTGTCTTTTTCTTGCTTTTGAGCATGGTTGGTGATAAAATTAAAGCTAAATTGTAGGGACAAAAGCTGATATACTACTTTGATTAGCTGTATGGAATATATTTTGTTATTTTTATTAAGACAGTTGCAAACAAGATGTGAAAGTAATATATTTTCTTCTGTGATTTGTATCAGGTTGTATTCATGGAGCAGGGCCAGACAATTTTATTGTGGAGGGCTGTCCTGCCCATTGTACGTT